TTTTCAGGAACCTTGTAGTAAAGTCTGTAAACATTACCTACATTGGGCTATTAGGGTCCCTAGGGTTAGCTTGATTGGCATCATGGCGCAAACACCCCTTCGGGTTCCCGGTTTTCCCCAAACCCGAAAGCCATCAGCCTCGAGCAGCTTGGTGCAATCCCCAATTACTGGACCCCTTCTCCATGATTTGATATACTGTGTATGGTTTAGGGGGTAGGGTTAAGAGAATTCAGGGTTCAGGGCTTATGGTTCAGGGTTTAGGATTTTTAGCTGGTGGTTTTCCAGCACCCCTAGGTACTTCACGGCCAGAGACTTCCGGGGAGCCGGCAGTCTGTGGATCTCGGCCATCCTTTCCGTCAGGCCTGGGTTGCGTAGTCTAGGGCCAAAGGAAAAGAATATATAGGATTTAGGGTTTAGGGTTTAGGTAGGATCTAAGGATTGTAGCTCTTTTCATCAAAAAAACCTTCGTGCTTCAGCAGGCCCAGCCGCGCCTGTCCCTCCCGCCAGGGGATGAATGAATGGATGATAACTGAACAACACTCAAACAGCACAGAAGTCCTGTTTTGAAGGAACCGTGCTCCTGCTGCTCTACCGTTTCGTCGCTCCCCATTATTTGCCTAGACAGGTCTAAACAGTACATAGGACATGAAGTGATGTGTCGCTTCTGAAAGGAGATACGAATACAGACTCCAGCAATCCAGCAGATATCAAACAATTTTCGTTGCTTGCCGATGCAACGCCCTTGAGGCTTCGCTACGCTATGCCTTGCAATTCTGATGGCCGAGTCTACCTTGGTCACTGTATCAGTTTTGCCACCACCAAGCAAATCTTGATTCAGCCTCAATGGCCCCATGTTTGGTTCTCCATCTTGTTGTTTTGGCACTATAGGGGCTATCTATATATTATATATATATAGGGTATATATACGTCAATGTAGGGGCTACATAGGGGCTAGAGAGGGGTTACATACCGACCTCTAGGACCTGCTTTGAAACCTGGCCACTGGAGTACCGAGGGCCAAGCCACAAGGAGGACATTGGACGACTGAACTTCTCCTCCACGACCGGCGCCTGCAGAAAGTGAAGAACTTGTTGACTCCTCATGTGAGCCATTGTCTAAACTCCTAGTATCCCCCTTAATAACCCCTATAATAGTCCCCGATAAAATCCCCTATATAACCCCCCTTTCAGGAGTTTAGACTATAGCTCATGTCAACCTGACCCCCTACTGCTATCTTCCTTGGTGAGGACCTACCATGCACATCTAATATGAAGTTTGGTACTGGGCTTAAGGGGTAATAGGGGTAATTGCATCAGGGGAAGTTAATGGCGCAGGCTTGGAAAGCTATCACAAACTCCAGGGAAAACACAACGCCCACGAAACCATGTTACATGCAGAGTTCCGGACAGGAACCTCTCACTAGTTCCTCACGTAAACCCTAAACCCTAAACCCCTAATCCCTAAAACCCTAATCCCTAAAACCCTAATCCCTAAAACCCTAATCCCTAAAACCCTAAACCATAAACCCTATTGGGTACCATAATATCCCCAAGTAACCCTGAAACCTAGACCCTTTGTGACTCAGGCCTTGGGCGGCGGCAATCGCTCATCCTTCAAGTCTTGAAATGGCGAAGGGTAAAGGTTATGCCATGCACAGGGAATCTTAAAGGACATGTTCAACCTTTCTGCAGATGAACTTTCAGCGGAAGAAAATCAGCTCATGACTTCAGGGTTTGTGTGCCTCTGGGGTGTTCTCCCCTTGCTTTTTCATGCTTCGCCTGGACTTCTAAAGGTCTTTTGGCAAAGGCACGACTTCAGGCATGGTCTCCAAGTGTGAGGTCACAACTTCCTTCCCTGCGGGGCTTCCAAGGAATCGGACCCTTTCGTGTCATGTTGCTGCAAGGGCTTCTGCAGGATTGTGTAAAGAAGCCGATCCTAGGATCGATTGTGGTTTTTGGACATCCTGAACAGTAAGAGGCAAAGGGACCTGCACGGTCAGAGGCAGCCTTGTGGCCTTCCATGCTGTTCTAAAGAGGCCCCAGACCCCTGATTAATAAACACCCTCCCCTTAGTAGGGATTATAATAAGGATCCTAATATTAAGGCCCTTAAAAGGAGGGGCTTTGTTAATCATGGGTCTACATTATTCCCAAACACTGGACACCTTTCTGAAAGACCCTCAAAGAAAACGTTACCCAGACAGCCTGTCTGCTTCGTTTTCAGGATCTTTTCCGCAAGATTCCATGATGAGAATTCTCAAGCCTAACTTAAGCATCTGCCCAATCTTTGGGCGCACACCTTGCCAAAGCACTTGAAGTGCACCGGGGCTGAGAAAGTATACTTATAGGCCCTATGAAACCACATAATAACCCAATTAATTCGATGTAGATATAACATA